TACTCCTGGGGCCATAACACGGTGACTGACTCCAGGCGCTAAGAGGGCATGAGTCTAAAAATCAAAGCATGGGCCAGAGACAGTCCTTTCAGGAGACCCTTATTTGCCTAAAACTAAAGGCTGGGAGAGGAGCTGGGGCCACCTCCTAAAGAGTAAAGTTGGGCTCTGGGTGGCTAACGTCTCCCTTTTGTGTTCTCTAAGATCAGCATGTGCATTGGGAGGTCTAACCCAGGCTCCCATTTGCTCCTGCATGCACCATACTAGGCACATGCATGTTCTGCATCCTGAGTAGCAGGGAGGGGCCAGCCTCAGGTCTCCCTGCATCGTGGCTATGGTGCTACTCTTTAGAGGCACTGACATTGCTGCCTGCACCAGTGGGGCCAACACAATTATGCTGTTAGGCTTTCAGGGCTGAGTGGGGCTCCTGGGTCACTTTCTAGTTCAGTCCCCATCACGCCGCCCCCCATGCATCCAGTTCACTTTGCAAGAGGTTTATCAAATGGCCTTCGATACCTTGCAGTGGCAGAGCTGCCAAGTGATTCTTCTTCGAGTGCTTGCTCATGTCCATTCTGATCAGGTGTACACGCGCCGCGTGCACGGATTCCAGAGCTTTTTTCCCTTAGCAGTATCCATAGGGCCAGTAGGGAGCCCGCTGGAGTGGCGCCGGTATACCAGTGCATATATACCCCTGCTGGCCCCTCCACCCCCTCAGTTCCTTCTTACCACCCCTGACGGTAGCTGGAGCATGCTTTCAGGCTGTTAGCCTATCTCTTAGCAGCTGTATTTTTTATCTGTTGTATTATAGTTCTAATTGAAGTTTTATCTAGTTAAGTAGTTGTTAAGTGCTGTAAACAGTGTAATTAGTTAGATAGGGGAGCACAGCAGGACTCTCCCGGTGAGGGGAGGGCATGCCAGGGCCCCAGGGCTTTAAACCCTGTGCTTCCTGCTCAGCCTATGCCCTGCGGAGATCCCCACTCCGACTGTCTAAAGTGTCTGGGAGAGGCCCATCGAGCCGAAAGCTGCTCTATCTGTAAGAGCTTTAAGCCCAGGACCAAGAAGGAGAGGGACTCCTGGCTGAAACTCCTGTTAATGGAGTCGGTACTGCAGCCCCAGGGCGAGGAGCGGCCTCACTCTGTCCGCAGCCCACCGTCGGCAGCACCCGTGTCGGCCAAGCACCGACCTGAGACCGACAAGGCACCGAGGCACAGATCGCAGTCCCCGGTGCCGAGGGCCTCCAAGAGCTCGAGGGGAAGCTCTGCAGAGAGGAGTGCCCAGAAGGTGCGCCCTAAGGAGGGGCACCTATCTTCTAAGGCCTCGAAGAAGAGGCGCAGCCCAGACAAGGGCAAGAGCCCGGGGCAGCCTGTGGTGATAGGAGAGGTCCGTTGTCCCTCCACCCCAGAAACCTTCAAGGCAGCCCGGGACCTCATCCAGGTGGCCGCGGAGGAAGGGGAGGGCCTGGTGCCGCAGGAGCGGACCGTGCCGGCATCGGCCTCAAGCGCCCACCCGCTAAGGCCTCGAAGAAGAGGCGCAGCCCAGACAAGGGCAAGAGCCCGGGGCAGCCTGTGGTGATAGGAGAGGTCCGTTGTCCCTCCACCCCAGAAACCTTCAAGGCAGCCCGGGACCTCATCCAGGTGGCCGCGGAGGAAGGGGAGGGCCTGGTGCCGCAGGAGCGGACCGTGCCGGCATCGGCCTCAAGCGCCCACCCGCAGGCTATGGCTG